AACAAGTGCATCGCTACTAGTAACAAGTGCCTTACTAGTAGTAACAATGTTTGCTATTAGAATTTGCTTGGGAAACTGTTTGCTTGCACGCTCGACCGCCGAACCGATCCGCCTCCGGCGGGAGGGAAGGAATAGTATCGTTCTCAGCGACGGCGTCATTCTCCTGGCAGAACACTTCCATAAAAGACAGCAAAGACAAAAGAATAGTAAAACACACCTAATAGCTTCTTGTTACTACAGGTGAAACGATTCCCAGTGAAACGATTTCCAGACAGCAAAAACAAAAGAATAGTGAAACAGTAAACTATATATTGGAACCTTCTTTGTTTCTAGCAATGGCCTCCAACCTAAGAGCAAACTATATTATGATTCTCGAATGTGAGATTCATCTGGTTCTTTGGAAGAATCTATACCTGTATCTTTCGTGGATTTGATGTTGGGCAACGCCAAAAGACAAACTCTTCATAGCTCTGGTTTTACTTGGACTGCCAACAACATCTGCATGCTTTTGCATGATCAGACTTGTAGGAGACCTTTGAAATGAATGAAACACAATGAAACGATATGAAAGCCGTTATAGAATCACATCACATCGAAGAGCCTCTTTGACCCTGTGAGCAAACGAGTCGGTCACCTCCTCTGCTGCTTCCTGGCTGTTGAGAGGCTGAAGTAACGCTCTGCTGTCTCGTTCGGATTTTCTGTGGGCCCCGGTTTTGCTTGTGTGGGAGCTTCCACAACACATGCTTTCTGCATTACAGTCCCAGCGAGGCATTTGGGCATGCTCATCCAACTCCGAACAAGGATCTGATGCAAGGATGGTTAGCTTTCACGATTTGAGCGCTTAGGACCTTTGTGGAACCAGAAATCAAATCATCTGCGTAGTTTTTGTCAACTTTCCCAGAAAGAATTTGCCCATGCAGTTGTTTTTTCTTTAGGATATTCAATTATTCATTCGTTTGTTCAATCGAGGGTATGACAACTGCAGCTGCTACACTTTGCAAAAGACACGCACACGGAACCGAAAAACACTGGTTTGTAGAAATTCACATCTGGAGAAGGATGACCGCGCTCTATTTGGGTTTCGTCTGGGTTTGTTCGGAGGGAACCACACGCAATTGGTCAGGTCCAACTTGGTCAGTCCTGCTCTTCCTCGTCATCCGCATCCTCACCTTCCTCTTCACCTCAGAAGTGCATCGCTACTAGTCACAAGGGCATTACTAGTAGCTATTTGCTACTAGTAGTAATGCACTTATTACTACTAGCGACACTTGTTACTAGTAACAAGAAGCTACTAGTAACAAGTGCATCGCTAGCCACAATTGCACCATTGAAGTAAGATCTCTGTTCGTCCAAAACCCAGCTGCTCGTCTGTCGACATGTTGCTGACCGAAAACTCCGAATGTGTCAGATGTTGTGCAATCATTTTTTCCCTATCCGAGGACCTCAAACCCATATGGGATGCCCAGATTGAGACAAAGCTCCTTGATTCACAATTCCTGACCTTCAAGGATCATGTGACGTTGCTAGCACGTGATCTGCAACGTCCAAACGTGGGCTCTTTGTGAGTTCAAGCCAGCAAAAGCCATTCTTTGCTTTCCGTGGGCGATGTTGCTTTCCAGCCTTTAGAGGCTGAGGTATATGGGCTGATGGGGTGAAATTCCAGCCATAAAGACATACATCTTTCATAATCCTCTTCACTTTACCTTACCAACACTAGAGGACATTTTTTTTGATGCTCGCAGCGAATCCGAGGAGTGGCATCCCTCCCGTACATTTACTAAGCACACAAAGCTTGCTCAGCAAATTGCAACCTAGTAGCAGTGGCCTCCAACCTAATAGCGATGGCCTCCACCCTAATAGCGATGGCCTCCACCCTAATGGCGATGGCCTCCAACCTAATAGCGATGGCCTCCTACCTAATAGAGATGGCCTCCAACCTAGTAGCAATGGCCTCCAGCCTAATAGCGATGGCCTCCTACCTAATAGAGATGGCCTCCAACCTAGTAGCAATGGCCTCCAACCTAATAGAGATGGCCTCCAACCTAATAGCAATGGCCTCCAACCTATAGCATTGGCCTCCACCCTAATAGCGATGGCCTCCAACCTAATAGCGATGGCCTCCAACCTAATAGAGATGGC